GTGTTTTTTTTTTTTTTTTTTTTTTTTTTTTTTTTTTTTTTTTTTTTTTCTCTTTTCCCTTTTTTTTTTTTTTTTTTTTTTTTTTTTTTTTTTTTTTTTGGGGGTTGGGGGGGGGGGGGGGGGGGGGGGGGGGGGGGGGGGGGGGGGGGGGGGGGGGGGGGGGGGGGGGGGGGGGGGGGGGGGGGGGCGCGGGGGGGGGGCCCCGGGGGGGGGGGGGGGGGGGGGGGCCCCCCCCCCCCCCTCCCTTCTCCCCCCCTCCTTCTTCTCCTCTCTCCTCCCTCTTTTCTCCCCCCCCCCCCCCCCCCCCCCCCCCCCCCCCCCCCCCCCCCCCCCCCCCCCCCCTTTTTTTTTCTCTTCCTTTTTTTTTTCCCCCCCCCCCCCCTCTCCTCCCCCCCCCCCCCCTCCCTTCTTTCTCCCCTCCCCCCCCCCCCCCCCCCCTCCCTTTCCCCCCCCCCCCCTTTTTTTTTTCCCCCCCCCCCCCCCCCCCCTCTTTTTTTTCCCCCTTTTTTTTTTTTTTTTTCTTTTTTTTTTTTTTTCTTTTTTTTTTTTTTTTTTTTTTTTTTTTTTTTTTTTTTTTTTTTTTTTTTTTTTTTTTTTTTTTTTTTTTTTTTTTTTTTTTTTTTTTTTTTTTTTTTTTTTTTTTTTTTTTTTTTTTTTTTTTTTTTTTTTTTTTTTTTTTTTTTTTTTTTTTTTTTTTTTTTTTTTTTTTTTTTTTTTTTTTTTTTTTTTTTTTTTTTTTTTTTTTTTTTTTTTTTTTTTTTTTTTTTTTTTTTTTTTTTTTTTTTTTTTTTTTTTTTTTTTTTTTTTTTTTTTTTTTTTTTTTTTTTTTTTTTTTTTTATATTTTTTTTTTTTTTTTTTTTTTTTTTTTTTTTTTTTTTTTTTTTTTTTTTTTTTTTTTTTTTTTTTTTTTTTTTTTTTTTTTTTTTTTTTTTTTATCACTTGCAAATACGGATAGAACCGAGATTATGATAACGTGTGTGTGTTTCTATACTTCAATGCTTTGATACTAGTTCAGAACTAGCTGTACATAAGTTTTTTAAACGGAAATTCTGCTTGAGGTAGTCCAATTAAATATATGGGTCGTATCGAATTCACTGTCAGTGTCATATAGTGCACTATTATGTATCAGGACAATCGCATGAGTGAGTTCTGACAATCGAACGACATAGTCTAGCGTTGGCAATTCCTGCTTTATAAAATATACAGTTTGAATTGCATTTAGTTACCATAATATTACAATTACTTAAAATCGAAAAAATATAAAATCGTTCCGATGTTTCGTATAAAATTTCAGTGACATACGAAAAGATTTAATTGATACTGATAAATTTCAGCAAATTATGGAAAAAAGTACGGTAATATTTGATGCATATTGGAGGAATGTTATAAATGTAAACTTCATAATGTTTTCATTTTCCTGTGATCAAATTATTGATAAAGTTATCGGATAAAAATTTATGATTTTTTTTTTGGTTATTAAAATATTACGATTATGCTTTTTTCGTTAACTAGACCTTTTTTAATAATTTGACTGAACCAAATTAAAAACAGCTAGTACTTTGAATTAGTATCTTTATTTCTAACTTAAGCTTGTATTAATAAATAATAGCTTCCAACTGATTAATATACCTTCGCTATATAATATTCCTTAGCAAGAACATTTTACTGGCAATATTAAAAATGAGCACTGTAATATATAAAACTCTTGTTTATTTATGTTTTACCGCATGCAACACTGAAGCTTAACATAATCTTTATTCTTTCTTTAATACACAGTATTATGCATTTCGCATCTGTGGTCTGAACTCTAAGTTGACACTGTAATCGTATTACAGTGCAACAGTTTTTTATACTGAAGAAAACTGAAATAAACTTGTAACAAAATAATAGTTTGAAGGGCCCCTTGTGGCAAATGGCGTCGACAGGTGTGCACGTGACTACGCAACAATGATGCTAGACAAATACAAAATATAGTAATGCTACTTTATTTTACCCTTTGCACGTATTGTGTTAATATGACAAAGTTGATACACGAGTGAAATATTTCATATAATTAAAATGCAAATTCCTCTTGGTACTTAACGGTAAAAGCTGATGCTATTAAAGGGGATTTCCTTTATAACCAACTTGACTTAACCTGCTGAAGAGATAGATGATGAGGCACTTTTTTCGTATTTTGTTGAAGCGCTCAGATAGCATCTCAGGCATCTTACAATGTTTACAATTTACATAAATATTATAATATTACCTTTTCATAACTTTTTACCATCGTAATCTCGGGTGCTATGCTATTAACAGATCTTTTAAGGTTTTTAGAAATGTTCACATACTCAAGGCGTGAAATCATTTTCATAATAATACAATTTTGTTGCTTAGAATATTTGCGTATATTTATCTATAATAGTATAATAACAGTGATTAATAAAGTTCCGTTTTTGTTCCAGGTAAGATGATTATACTACAATGTTTAATACAAGTAAGTACAGAACAATAGCGTTGCTTTTAAAGTATTTATTGCGAGACGGATTGTCGCTATCATTGTTATAAACCAAGGCGATAAAAGTAAATGAGAAAAAGCCAAAGGTACGGGGAAAACGTTAACAGGTCGATAATGCGAAGCCATCAAGTGCGTACTCGGCCCGGCGGGATCTGCCCGCCTGCCTAATGACGGGTCACGCATTTAAATAGCCTGCTTCCGATCCAATTACATGTATGTATTCATATACAAGTCATCATTCGCATCAATACACCCTTACCCAATCAGTGACAGGCGCTGATTAATTCCAGACGTACCTCCATTATCGTCATTTAAATTTCACGTGAGACTCGACGCAATTTACATGTATAACTTGATTAAGTCATAAATTCGAAATTTTATTTCGTATTGTTGAATGTCGTAAATTGTTTTCCGATTTATGTCTTCAAGATAACGAGTTCAATTTTGCAAATCATGAACAAGAAAAATAATTAACTGTCTGACTCGGCAAAACTTTTCGATCTTCTAGAAAATCCTTCTTAGTTTAATGAGGTTTTCGTTAAAATGTCAAATTCAGTGTTTAAGCAATTCACTGGTTAAGTTAACAAGGCCAATATTGTTTCACAAACTGTCTTTACCTCGACTTTCATGCAGTTCGTCTGAAAGTATTGATTTCCAATGGAGTAAAACTTTGTCAGGAGAAGTTTCTTTGGAACAACAACTTAAGTAGAATAAATTCAACAATAAGTAATTTCCTTATATGGATTCTTTGAATCTACTTAGTAACTAAACAATAGAATGTGAATTCTAAACCTAGAAAATAACAGAACCTTTTAGTGTGTACATTAGCGCAGGCCTGTATAATTTGGGAACGGAGTGAGTTCTATTGTTTGAAGTCTGTATTTATAAAGCTCTTGGTGAAATTAGTCCGCCACCTCAGGTGCACTGGCGCCCATTACTAACCGGATTCTCTAGGAGCAGGACTTCCGTGGTTACCGCATAATCTGCGTTGTTTTTCATATTTTTTGGTTATAACTTTTATGCTTTTATATCATTAAGCTTTCCTTGGGCAGAATATTTAAAACAAAAGAAGTTTTTGTACATATTAGGTATCTTGATAATAGAATTGTACTGTTATGTTATAACTTAAATAAATATTTGAAATAATGTATTCGTTTAGTTTCTTACGGGTGTCAAAATTTGCGTCTATGCTGTAAAAAACCACACAAATTGATCCTTTAAAAATTTAAATGTTGTCGTAGTTTAAAAATATTGAAAACAATCCTATATATTTAGGCCTGAGTTCCGAGTGCTCTTGATAAATATTGTTTGATTGATGGTCGAGAAGAATGACCTCAACTCTACACATTGGCATTCTAAAACGATTTATTCATACATCAACTCGACTGTGAATTTTTTTGTGAAAAAAATCCGCTATAATTGTGCCCTTTGTCCCAACTTTTTAAAACGTTCATAATCGTGTAAATAGCGGTATCATTTCGCTATATGAGAAAGGTTAACATTTCATATTTTTCATCTTCTCGTTATGAAAAATTTAAGCTTGTGTAGACTTTTACTATTTTGCGGTACAGGCGTCCGAGCACGAGCGCGCATTAACAAATTTAAGTAATTAGTTTTATTTCTAGTATAATTGTAGACAAACGCTGTAGTAGAGCGATTTGACGGTTTCCTTGGGCTTTAAGGGTTGATTAATGTTTTTTTCCAATAATATTTATTTATTATATTACAAAAACATACATATAAAAAAAAAATCAGCAGGTTATATAAGTTATAAGGCAACGGGCGGCCTAATCGCTAACAAGCGATTTCTTCCTGGCAACCCTAATATGGAACAATAAAAAAAGAAACATCTACTGAGGGTAAAGTACAAGAAGTGCATAAAGTATATCGGATTTGTTTTTAAATACCACGATATAAAAAGAAATCCGATACTTAACGCGACCACCCTTAGTAGGTAAGTACATATCTGTTGGCTTTAAGTTTTCTTTATATTTAATGTAACCTAAACGAATACGGCTAAGAAAGTGGAGAAACGTTATCTAGAATGAATTGCTGGGAATAGCGCTGCAAACGAATTACTGTTCGATTTTCAATTGGGATTTTCTATCAAATTTGCCAGCTCGTTTCTGCTGAGCTTGCCCGTTGTTACGATGGAGCGTGTAAAAGGTCCACGCATTTGGCTTTACTCAAAATAGTTTTTCCATCCCAATGGATTAATTGGAACAATTTAAACGTGCTAAATATTTTGAAAACACTCATAACAGCAAGTTTTGAAACAGATATAAATGTACTCAAATAATATTTAAATCGATGAAGCCTGCAAAGTGGTTTTATCTGAACTCTATTAAGAATTTACAAAAAGAGTTGCATATGCGTGCACATAGTGTTATAACTTGAATAATGAATATCGATATGAATACTGTAGTGATATCTTATCATCAAAGTTTAAATAATAATACAATATTTTATTTATTAGTAAATTTTAATAGCAATATAAAACGGTCACAGTGGAGACAATACCACGACGCAGTAGACGCAGATGAAATTATAACGGTCATTGTAAGCTATAACCTTGAAAGAATAAGTATCGTAGAAGAAGCTTCCGCCCAGAAAATTAGCGTTTATCTCATGCATATTAATGGGTACTTCGTAATGGCCCTGTCAACAAAATTGAATTCATTTCCAACTTTCCCCTTATATTTGCCTTTTTATAATCCTTGACCTCTTCACTGTGCGGAAATCATGTATTTCCCGCCGTGCTTCACTCAAAATTGCTTTTCATGGATTTTTAATGTATTTCTTAGGTGAATATTTTCATAAAGAAAAATTTAGTTTCTTTACGTTGCATTTAAATTTGTTATAGAGAGAGACGGACCGGCAGTAAAATAACATAAATGAGTGACGTGGTTGAAGTATTAATAGTAATATCGAATACCTATCTACAAAGTATATATTATTAAAATATTGTTGAATTTCTATCTTTGTATTACATTAAAATTAAAATTAGAACACAAAGGGCTTTTAGACGATGCATTTAAAAAGCAAATATAAAAATCTGTCAATTTCCCACGGAATATAGTAGGCAATATATGATTTTCTCCTTCCAACCTAAAACAATATTTGTTTTGTCTCATTTGACCTCAAAACCTCTGTGTTATACGTCTTGTGCGATTTCAACTAAGCCACTAAAGTGATGATCGATGCCATTATTTAAAAATACTATTTACCTTTGCCACCATGCAATTATCAGATAAATTAAAAGCCTTTTTCAATATAGGCCCAAGTACGAAATGCTGACATGGCTTACTCAGTTGATAATTCCATAATTTATTTGTTCTATTACTATCCTTCACTTGCGCAATTACAACCTTAGCCTGTAATAAATTATTCGAAACATAATAAAATTTATGACATTGCTGTACATAGATAAAAACATATGATATATTATATACAAGGTTATGATCAATACAGTTTTATTAATTATTCCTAGATTTCATACAGATAAGAACTTTAAAAGGCTCACACTAAGTTTAACTTGTGTTGCTTTTACTAATGTTGTAAGTTGCATAAACCAAAGAGCTCGAACTAGACATTATTTTATCTATTTCCCTAATCACTTTTCGTTACGAGAAATATTTTGTACCCAAAAGGGTTAAATATTCATTAAAACATTGATGAACATGATTCGCCGGGAATCTTGGACCTGGTCAAGCAAATTAAGTAACGCCCGAATCCAATAATTAATCCACAATCTCAGATCGTTTTCAACTTTTCAAGACCGTGACAGTCGATCGATCTCCTATCTGCGTTCCAATAACCAAACCCTACGAAGACAATCCATTTTCGGCGCCGGATAAAATGTTCTTTGTCGTTCCATTTTACCGAGTTCTACAGACACCCATACGACCGCCCATGGATAGCTTGTATCGACAGATGGCTATTACAATCCGTCTATTGGTTATTGGCAAACTTTTTACAATATTTGGATTAAGATTACTATCTCAGATGGTGGATAATGGATTGAGATAGGTTCGGGCGTAAATCGATAACTAGACCGTTGTGTCGCGCTATAGTCTTGCTTCAATATTTTTACTTAGTCTTAATACTGACCTTGGTAATAGAACATCTCTTGCGGAAGTCCAGTGAATATATCACATTACTATAATTTTGCAGGTTATTTAGTTTTACATCACCACAGTCCGTCATCTTTGGTCCTTTACAAATCTCATACGTATCATATGTAGCTTTATATGGTCCCTAAAAAAGAATTAATTCATTTACTTGCTTCATATATAGAAGATATTTTAAAAGTACTAACATAGTTCTGATTTGAAAGTACTTGATAAATTAAACATAGTATTAATATTTTAATAAACACTGAACACGTGTTTGTAAACATTTTTCATGTACCAAAATGATTGGTTTCTTTTATGTATGTGCTATAAATTGTAATTTCCCCTACAATTATTATAATTTACCGAATAATGCATTTTAAACATTAATTGCGGCAAACATAATATAATAGGTTTATAAATAACTAAATAATACGCCATTATAATAAATTATTCAATGGCTGAATTGGGCTCCATTATTGCATGTACTCAATTCCTTTTTGTTGTTTAATAATTTTGTTACGATAAAAATAGATAAAAACACGTAGGTGACTTTTACACAGTTTGTTGAGTGATGTTTTGAATGTATAAATACTTGAGTTGCGTCATATCATTTGCATTTGATTAATTGGACGGATATTTGGCGTATCTATTGGTAAGTAGAGGCGTAGGGCTACTACGCATACCAACAATTATTAATTGCCGGTAATAATCCGTGTGGACTACTGTACAATAGTAAAATACTTTTAGATTACAGTCTATTTTGTATTTGCGAGAAACTTCAACCTATAAATGTACAAAATATCTAAGGTGAAATTTACTCTTCTTTTATGTTTATGCCATTAGTATATGTAAAATATTTGTTTAAGAACTAATAACATATAATATTGTTCTACAAGTGGAAGAAAAGCTAAAAACAAATTTCTACTAATTTATATTTTTAACCCCTTCCTAGTGGGAGTTTAGTTGTCAGCATTTTAATTTTCACACAATATACAGTAACACAGACCTAGGTTTAAAAAAATACTACTTAGGGTCCTTCAAGAAAAGAGCGTACCAATTCTTAAAAGGCCGGCAACGCACTCGCGAGCCCTCTGGCATTGAGAGTGTCCATGGGCGGCGGTATCACTTAACATCAGGTGAGCCTCCAGCCCGTTTGCCCCCCGTTCTATAAAAAATAAAAAAATCTAAAAATCATATTACATATACTATGTCAGTAATAAGAGAACATTAATATAACTAAAAAAATTGTGAGCCGTCTTGGAACAGCAGATATGAAACATCGGAATAATTTTGTACAAGTACTATGCATAAAATAATAGTTTAAGACAGGAACTAAATAAGGCGGAATAAAAAAATCTTTTTTTTTTTCAGAAAACTACTACTTACTACTTTGGGACTGACTGAATTAATTATTACTAGTAAAAGTGATCTGGAATTTAAATAAAACTTGCATTAGTAGAAGTAATACGCAGTATCGTCAGTAACCGATATTCTAAGAAGCTTCGATTGGATAATCCTTTGAATTTCCTAGCTTTAATCGTAATTTATTCTAAAGAGAATTTGTTCGTTCTCTCATTTCATTATGGCTAGTCGTTAACTTATATTGCTTCAATATAAAGTGATCGCTTTCGACCCAGACTACACCCGTCAAAATCTTTATAATTTTGTCTATGGTGAAAATATATTATACCTTACGTGGTTATACCTTACGTAAATTGCTTCAGTATTGCAGATATGAAAGTTATCAGGTTGAATCGAGCGATCATTAGTGCATTTTATTTCGAAGCCGTTTCGCCCAAGTTCCGCGAACCGCTTAATGCGTTTCCCCATTACGTGTCACCTGCGTCATCAACGTTTTTTACGCATTATTTTTATGCTAATTGAGACTAAACGTATTTTTAATTGTTGACAAAACGGCGCTCTTTTTATGTGTCCATATTATATCTGAAAACCAACCTGGGTCCGACCAATTTGTGCGTACGCTTCGATATTATCTTAGGCAAATAGGTTTTTAACTTTGTATGTCTACGTCATTGATTTTTGTTGGTAAGACACGCTTGAGTCCAATTTTCCCTACGACATCAAGATTCAATCTCTCTCTAACCGCCAATACAAATGGCTTATACTATACAGCAACATGACATTGACATGCAAATCGAAAAGTTACGGAATTTCTATTGCCTCCTAAAGATTGGCGTTTTTACAAGCTGAAAAGATAAATTTAGTTTCAATGCTTATTGAAAACGTGTAAAAAGTGTAATCATCATTTATTTTAGGCAGGAATTAGGAAAAGCCTACACAAATGAACAACATCTTAAACCATATTGCCTCGACGGTTTCTTACTAATTTCATTTCGAAATCTAAAAATTTAAAATGATATAGTGATGAATGATAAATTAACTTAATCTATCACTTCTACGCAGATGTATAAATAGTTATATTATACTTTGCGGCATTTTTACTTGGAAAGTAGCAAGTGTTTAGGCGAAAGTGCGGTACGAAGGCTGCTTCTAAGCCAGGCCCAGGCTCGACCTCTGTTTGCCGACTTATGTGGCCATCCCGAAGCTTACTCTAAATTGCAATTAAATGAAGTGGGGCATTTGCTTCAAACTTCAGATTGTTTAGTGAAAAATCTATTTTATATGTTAAACTAAAGAAAAAAAATTACCCTAATGGACGTAACATAGGTTTGGTATAAATAAATAGGTTGGTCCAAAAAAGTTCGTATTTTTACTTACCATAGTAATAGTGCAAGTCGTTCTAATTGTTTTCTTTGCTGTCTGTAGAACGAATCATCTTATGGTTTTGTTTGTTATAGAAAAGCTAAGTTGAGCTCATCATCGTAAAATGTAAAGCATTTTCGTAGTGTTTAGTACAAGTTTAACGATTTTATATTTGTGTAATGTACTGGGCATACCTTTTTGCTACAAATAGGAGATAAAAGATACTGGTAGGAGAGAAAAATCCCTTCTTGTTACAAAGTAAGTGAACGGAGTCACTAATAACGTTTAAACTAGATGCGCTGATAGGTATTTAAAGAGTTCGGATATTATTTATACCTAGTCCGGTAACTCCAGTTTAATATCCGCCCAGAAGCATTTAATAAGCTTCCTCTTCTGATCAAACGCCTTTAATATTATACCAAATTAGGACGGTCAGAATACCTTTATCACATTTTATGTTCGACCGAAACTGAGACCTATCGTTTATAAGTTTAGGCTTTCGGTCGACATATACATGAACTATAATATTATATAAACACAGATTATATCGAAAGGGTTAATAAAACAAATGAACCGTGTTTTCTATTTCGGAAATGTTGTCGTAATTTGCTACAAGATATGTTATTTGTTTAAGACAACTTTATAGTTTTCATGCAAAATGTTTAGTTCAATCAAAAGTTAAATATAATCATGGCAACTGGCGGCATTATTGATTAAAAGCAACTCGAAGATTTACCTGAGTTAAATTGCTTTATCTTTTCTTTGTAAAAATAGCAAGTAACACTTATGATATAATATTACGTATATTTAAATCAATAGTAGATAATCAGTAGAATCCTTTGAATACATAAAGAAATATCCAATCCTTTAATCATTTATACTCAATTACAACAATTATAAATAATTTAGAATATAGACAAAGAACACATTATTCTCACTGCTCATAGCGTATAGAAGCCATCTTTAATTTAAACATTGCATACCTAATTATCGTCAGGTGGACAATTTAGAGATAAAGGAAGAGGAAAACAGAGGAAGGTCTATTTAAAAGATTTCCATCTCAATTAGATAATTCCTCAGATTTATTTTTTGTCAACTTGAACTATAATTATTCAACTAAGGCTAAGATAGGAGTTACGTCTGACTGCGGTTTTGAAAACTAAAGTTAGAAAGCGACTATTAAACAGAATAGCTTTCATGTTCACCACAACTTGATTTCTTGTTGTTATTTAACTAATATTCCAAGACTGTATTAATGAAACTAGACCATACTTTGAATTAATGTAGTACCCGCCTTTGTTACTAGATCTTTATTCAAAGTTGAGGTTTTGAATTCCAAACGCAAAAATCTGACTATACTACATAAATTCGTATTTAGTATCGATGCCATATTTCGGCATAGATTTAAATAACTATTACTTTGCATTTAATTGCGCCACATTCGTTTGTTTAAATGTTTATTTTAATATTATTGCTTTCGCGGGGTAACGCGCCAGGTCATCTGGAAAGCTACTCTTATCTCAAACAACAAAGATTCTCTTATAATCGTAATGTAGTTAACGATTCTTGCAAATAAAATGCGGTCACAGGCAACGTATTTTAATACAATCAATTTTGTCGGGAACTGTTTATGTAGTGTGAGAATAAGGAGTTGGCTGGAAGCTAAAGCACTTTAGATCGCTCGAAGTGTGATGAATGGGCGGTGGCTGGCTGCGCTCGTCGGAACGTTGCTGTCCCACTCATATGATTGATATCGTGTATTATGGCGTGGAATTAATAAAATAATGCTATTAATAGACAAGTAGTACCTGGTTCGATATGAATCTACGTTTGTTCAGAATTCATATTAATGTATTTTAAGAGTATTTAAACAAATCATTATATTTCTTAAATTAGATTATTCATTATCTATTTTGTTTTTATAAATGTTCATTTAGTTGTTTTTGTTAGTCTGTGGAAAAAACACTAGTTTTGTTTGTCTATGTATGTGTCATTTTTAATTTGAATATGAAGTGTTTGTTATGAGTACATTTTTAATTGATTATAAAATAAATAGGGTTATACCCTACAACTGAAATAGCAAACTCTAAATGTTGTGTCTTAAAATAAATATTTTTGCAACACATTTGAGTTTCACTCCCTTATAAGTATTTTCGTCATTTATTATGTACTTTTTTTACATTTAGAAATTTTATAATTGTTTAATCAAAGTCTCAAATGTATAATAATTATTAAGGCCTTTAATTTGAAGTATTGTTTTCATAAAATGTACATTAAATACAACACATCAATTCAAATTAATTAGCAAAATGATATTTCGCATTTAATGTTATTAAAAACGCGTCGAAAGGTTTCACATTGATAACTTAATAGTCTAGATAGATAGATAATTGTTTATTTTGTTTAAAATTTAAATAGTTCAGAATGATTCACTAGAAATTGATTAAATTCATACTATGCCTCTTTTATGATTAAGAACTGTAACGTAACTATTTACTTCGATTTAAAATAATTCTTATCCGAAATGTCAACAATTTTTTTAATCGGTTTAATGTAATTATAATCCTGGAATCTGAGAACATGGGTATATTTCTGCATTCTTTTTTCTTATCTCCATTGGCAAGTCAACGTTTACGTGGTTATACGTCACAATTATTGTTGAAGTGAAACTTCTTTATCGGGGTTGGAAAAAAATTTAGTGTAACATTTTTGCGTTACGCGTCACATTTTTCCGTTACGCGCCATGTTGCTTTTTGAAGTCAAACTTCTTTATCGGCGTTAAAATATGACATATAGTATGTTTTTGACTTTGAAGTTTGACAACGGATTACATTTTCGAAGTCAAATTTCTTTATCGGCGTTAAAATATGACATATAGTATGTTTTTGACTTTGAAGTTTGACAACGGATTACATTTTCGACTTGAAATTTGCTAATCGCAATTTGCAGCAATTAATTTGTAAATTGTATGCTAGGCAGTGTACCAAAATTTACTGTGTTTAAAGAAATAGTTTCTAATAAGGTCATAAAGAAGTTTCACTTCTTACGTGTGTACACCTAGTACACGCACACATTTTTTCATCCAGAATATAAACCTGGATATGTGTTTGACAATCAAACCATTTGTTACGTCATGTCTGGCAAATAGTACTAATACTATTCCTAATCGTATTGTACCAGTATATAACAGTAAACACAAGCATTTACCTTTAATTACTTAGTGAAGTTGGTTATTGCGCCCAATGACATTGCTAGTTTTGTTTTCCTATAATGGAGTTAGACTTGATTAACTTATTTTCCGACGAAGGGAAGAGCGAGTGAAGTGTTTCCCTCGCGACTTTTCCGGTTTAGACGAATTTCCGTTAGTGTTTCTTTAGTTAATGCATCTGACTATTTGATGTGTGCAATTAACACTCGCTCGTTTGGCGTAGAAAAGCTTTTTGATTGAAAAGGCATGTCTTAGACCAAAATATCATACTAATAAATAAACACCTATAAATAAAAACTATCACAGCTGGAAAGTGAGATGTAAAGTGCCCTGATAAAAACCGTAGAGCATTTCTAGGTCTTATATTTAACCTAACATGTTTTTTGTATGTATGTATGTTAGGTAACGAAGTGTTAATAAATAAATTAATAATTAATCAAAAACTAGGGAATTGATATGCAGTAGTATACACATATTAATGGCTGATTAATTTTGTAATCATTACATCTGTACGGATTATTTCGGACTCCTGACTATTCCGTTAATTATAATGTTAATAAGTTTATGTTTGCCTCAAATACGACTAATAACTTCATTAGTATTACTAACCGCCACTGTTTTGCATCATCTAAGATAATTCGCTTTTGCGATTCGTGGTCAGATAATTCTTTTAAGTTGTTTTTATATAGCGTAGCTCTCTCTGGTAGTTTGATTCTCGGCTACAATTTTTTTTTTCTATCTGCGCATTTAACATCCACTCTAACGGTGAAGGAAATCAGTCGTCATGACTGAGGCTCAAAATTTACGGCGTGTCTCTTAAAAAATTAAACTAAACATTTATTCAAACTCGTACATAACATATTTTATTCAGAACATCCGTTCTAACTTTAGCTAAATG